GCCGCCTTAGAAATCGCGGAAATTCTAAGTCTTTCGACCAACCCATCTATCCTCACCTGACAGAGCATATTCCATCACATGTTGCGTGCATGCTCAGACTGTCAGACTCACTCTTCTACTTAAATCTAATCCCGATCAATAACGCTGGATGTAGAAACCATCACGGATGTCCGCATATACTGTGGTTTGGTCTCGTGTAATGAGTCGCGACTTGGGATCTGGCGTTGTTCCTTCTCACTGTTGTCGCGTGTTCGGCCATCCGCCTCCGCAGCAGTCTTCCGGTTTTTCCGACATCATTGGTTTGCCCACAACTAAACCAGACCCGGTAAACGACTTCAGATGTTTTCTGCCGTCGCAGTGGGTCTATCGACCTCAAGATCTGAGGCTTTATGTTTGCATGCGTTCTGTGCGCCACTCCAATTGCAAGGGGTGTAAGAAGGCGGCTAAAGCCTTTCGAGACATTATTCACATAAGGCAGAGCTCGCCAGAATCTGGGACCGTTTGGATTTTGTCTCTCGTCTCGTTTGTGCAGGCACTGGTTGCCGATGTTAAGCAGGTAGCCATTCGCTCTATGCACCCGTTGAAGGTATTTTAATTCAGCAACCTTGTCTTCCGGTTCACTGCAATGTGTCTCCATGCGCTGGTATAACACCCTTACGCAACTGCGATTGTGACTGACTGGGTGGTTGCTGTTGTACTTCTGTACTTGCACCGTGTTTGTCGTTTTCACGCATACTTTGGCTTTTTGTGGCGACCACAATCTTTGCGGCAGACGAGGACATTAGGAAAGGCCAGCTGGTTGTTTTCCTCTTCCTCCATCGCAAACTGTATGTCCGGGTACACGACTTTGTGCGGTTTTTTGAATGTCAACACCTGATCCCCTTCGACGACGACGAAGGTATCATCCAGATAACGGGCTCAGAATTCTGGTCTATTTGTCAGTCTGCCTGTCTTAAGTTTTAAAATGTGCGAAACCTGCGGTTGCACTGTTTGGAAGCGTCTGAAGCAAGTAGATTGGAATCGAATCGTTCTGTTCCGGGAAACTGCGTCATTCTTCAGTTGTAAGATGAATAAAAAGTCGGAGTCAGAATGACCACAATCACGTGAGCGGGGTAGCACAATCACAGTAGGATGAAATAAGCAGAATGGATGAATGTACCTGAAATGGACTTTATCCACCTCTTAATTAACTCATCGGAATTATACGGGGAACAGGGCAGTAATAAGTGCGGCAGAATTCAAGCAGGGCAATAAGTTAGCATGAAACCATGCCCCTGCTCAGCCGACATGCAGCATCCATTCTGACGGAGATGTCATTGATACTGGCGCGCTCGAGCACACTCTTCGAAACTATGCGAAGAAACCATCAACTGACTCACTGAAGTGGAAACGATTGATAACTCCCATCGCCCGCATCCATTCCCAGAGGGAATCTGAGCAGTTCAAATGCTGTACAATGAGGGATCATCAAGGGGGCCGTCATTCCATTCTCTGTCTACAAGTGTGGTGACCCCCTACTCATAGACAGGCTCATTTCGCTGTTGCCAGAAACGGTGGCTACAATGACACATTCTCCCCTCCCCCAAAGGTTTCAAGGATGCCACCATCGTGCGTGTAGACAAACATAAGGGGAACCTGCAACTCTGTGATAATCACAGAGACGTCTCCTTTTTCAACATTACAGCTCTTTTTTCCGTCTGCGTTCTATCCAATCGCCGTAACACACATATATGGCGGGACTTCCTCCAGAAACGCGCTGCAAACTTCTAAAGCACTGCGGGACCACAAACATGATTTTCTCAGTCCACCAACTATTAGAAAGTTAACAGAAAGTGCAAACTAACCTCTACGTCACCTTCATGGATCTGATGAAGGTCGTCCTAACGGTGACTCGCAATGGACTCTTTAGCATCATTATGAAATTTCCGTGTCCAGAGCTATTCACGCTAATTGTAAGACGAGATTATGGTGCGCGTCACGGTAAACGGGACAGTCTCGAGGGCATTGGCAGTGACGAATTGGGTGGAACAGGGCAGTGTATATGTCCCCACCCAATCCATTCTCATGTTCTGCACAACGCGGATATGTGCCTACACTCAGGAGCAACCCAGGAATCTGCATCGCCTACCGAATCAACTGTCAACTGCCCAACATTTGACGCTCCAAGGCATCCATGTGGGTCTCGTAAGATCGACTTTCCTAATCTGTTCGCGGATGGCCGCACGCTCAACACCGTAAGGAAGACAGACATGCATCGGAGTATGGGCCTCTTCGACTCCGGACGCAACAAATTCGGCTTGATTATCAGAATTGGAATGACAGTGGTCTTGCACCGACCGACGCCAAATGACGACTACACCGAAGTCCGTACGAACATTAGTGGAAATCGACTTACAGCAGCAGACAGGAGCGCACACCTTGGGAGTACGATTTCAAGAAACATCAGGATCCACGAAAAAGCCGTCGTTCGGATCTCTAAGAACAACCAAGCCTTCGGCCAGTCACAACACACCGTTCAGAATTGTCGCAGCCTATTTCTGAACATTAAACTTGTACACACTTTTATTCGGCATGGCTTTGATGGTGCCTGATCTAGCCGGAGTGGATGATGTCACCTTTTGTGCTTAATGCAATGACAACTGAAGCAGAACGTCCGTCTCGCGAGGATGTATGAGGAACTCCTACCAAAGTCACTTCTTTGAGGCAACAGAACCACCGGTGCCCGCTGACATCTTGGTCAAAGACGACGCTACGAGGACACCCTGTAGACCTTCCTCGAGGGCTTGCAAATTACTCCTTTTTACACTGGACGACGTCACTGACTATCGGCCAGCGTGGAGAACAGCAGTGAAGACTGGAGTAACAATCTAAGAAGCCGGTTGAGTCGCCGCTGACAAAGCCAACCAAGCGACTCGTAATCCTCAAACTCCGCGGACCAATAACACAAATACCCAGCCCCATTCTATCGTATCCGAGTTGTAATCGGACATTCTGCGCATGGGTTGATCTAGTCGGACATCTCCTGACCCAATGCAGTAACAACACGAGGACTTCACCCACCGACTTCGGAGGCCTCTCCACCACCACTCCCTGCTGCAGCCCCACGACGGTCTCGACGACGACGACGACCACCACCACCGCCGCCGCCGCCGCCGCCGCCACCACCACCACCACCAATGGTGTGAAAATTTCCGATATCTCGACGCCCATAATCATCCATTCTAACCCAATTTCCGCGGGGAAGGTAGGGATTGGTGGCCATCTCAGGCCACCTCTATGTGCATCTACTCATTTACTTGCTCCTGTGAAGTAGGTTATATTGGTCACACTAATCGGCACTTATCCAAAAGAAGACGAGAACACCTCCCGGCATGGCTGAGAAAAGACGAAACTGGGAACACAAAGAGGGTCATTCTCGTATATTTTGTTGACTTCGGGCATCGTATGGGCTCCAAGGAAGCTTTTCGTGTGGTTTATAAGGTTCCCTCGGGCTGCCCTGAGTTATTGGGCTGGCATCTGTTAGCAAAAGCAGAAGCAGCTGCAATCAGTATACGAAATCCGGCCTTTTGAGCCCGTAAGAATATTGTTCATGGTCCGCATATACCGTGGTCAAAGGTCGACTAACAACATGCAACTCTCCGTGCCCTTCCGCCCCCACCGAAAGACCCACTGCCACGGCTAGAAACGTCTGGAGTCGTTTATCGGATCTGGTGCAGTTGCGGACAAAGCAACTACGTCGGAGAAACCGGAAGACAGCTCCGAACGGGAATCACCGAACACGCGGCAGCGGTGCGCAGAAATGACGCCAGCTCTCAAGTTGCGGCTCATTCGACGAGATCCAGCCACACATTAAAATTCGATGAGGCCGAAATTCTCGCAAGAGGTGACAACCGCGTGAGCCGGGAGCTACTGGAATCATGGTTTACTGGCCTCCAGTCCATCTACAAGTGCAACGATCTTTCCACTCCATATTGCGTGATAAAACTTCGCCTAGGCGGAGTAACGAGTCATGCGGGGAGGGCAGAGGTGAACACTTTTCCCAACACCGGGGTCGGCGCGTCAGATGGTCGAGCAATCATCACGCCAACATCCAACGCACGTGATGAAATTGCAGCAATTATCGACTCGAATGTCGGCCATCAAGCAGTGATCACACCCAGTGCGACGATCCCGGATGAAGAGGAGAGCCATGAATGTTCATAGGTATGCGGTAGCATGGCTACTGCATCCTATAAATACCGCAGCCCCTTGTGCAGCAACCACCCGTTTCTGCTTTTTTGTCTCTGATGATGGATTCGAGTAGGAATCCGAAACGTCAGGCTAATAAAGCTCTTGTCCAGGCGATCGTGTCTCCTTCTTCAAGTCAGTTACTGCGCCCAACGCCAACATTAGAGGGCTGACAGGCTGGGATAGTGGACTGGTGCCTGGGAGAGAGAGGGAGAGAGAGAGAGAGAGGGAGAGAGGCAAAGTCAACCCTGGGAACTGCGTCCCCATAGCACTCAGTACATATTCCTTGGTATAAACAATCTGAAGCACTTTTAAACTGTCCCGGTGAGCCAAAAGCCGTTGCTTGGAAGGCTGGCGACCGATGGGACAATTCTGTCCTCTCATGACGGAGCACAGGCTGCGGTGACCCCTTAATGTGGCCTATACTGCACCCTCATTCAGCTGGGGTCTGGGGCGGCTCCTTCTTCTTTCTGTGTAGCACGCGTGGACGGGTCGTTTAACCTTGTTGGTTACTGCGTCCGATTCTGCCTCCTGTCGTTGCAACTCTGTCTTGCAACCGGACCCAGGTGGGTAAGGGATAAGAGAGCGCGGCAGATGCCGCGGAAGTCTGCTATCATTACTTACTAGTTCACTCGCGAGTCATTGTTGTTGCGCCTAATCTGTGGCATATCTGGTGGAAGTCGTCGTTCACGACTGTATAACTGTCGATTGTGGAATAGGTTGAACGGATCCTCGCACGACTAACTCATTACTATCGGTCTAGTCATCGGTTTTTCGAATATTTAGGACGGCTTTCTGTGACATTTGGGAGGCAAAGAAGACTGAGACCGATGCTGAGTAGAATTCATGCGTACAGAACACCTGTGCATTCCTCACTATGATAAACCTGACGTGCTAATAGTCGTAGATTGTTGGGTTGTCTGCTGGTGAGAAGGAGGGCTAAACTACTGTGGCTTCTATGGCTCCTTTCATTCCTTTGAAACCATAAACTCCGTGTATGACAGTCCATATGGTGGCCCTACGTCAAGTCAGTCGTACACCCAATCTCATCCTAAGTCGGTCTCATTTGGACAGGTGGCCGAGGCAAGGGAGAAGGATGTGGAAGCAAGATAAGTCCAGTGCTCACTTTCCTCTGTAAAACTAAATAATCAGATGACAGCGTGGCGAGCAAACCTTGCTTTCGACAACTTCTCTTCAGGCCGATACAGTTATATGGGAACAGGGTACAGTGATGGAAAAAATCGATAAAAGTTAGTTTTTAAATTCCAGGCTGAGCAAGAGCGGAAGGGCGCAGAAAATTGTACGGGGTTAGTTAATCTTTGACCACGGTAAGCGCGGAGCCTGAACGAGGTTCTTCCGGGCGCATAGGGTCGGTTTTCGTAACCTGATGGCGACCGCTTTTGCTGTTGTTAACAGGCGCTGGCCCAGTAGCTTAGGATAGCTCGAGGGCACCTTATAAATCACACGAAATGCATCAGCGGGGTTCACACGATGTCCTTAATCTACTGCATGCGCAAGGATGGCGCTGTCTATTCTCCTAGTTCCACCTTTTGCCAGCCAAGCGGGGAGGTGTTCTCGTACTCTTTGAAAGGCGCCAACTCGTACGACCAATATAACCTGCTCCACAGGACCGAGTGAACGAGTAGATGCACATTGAGGTGGTCTGAGGTGGCAGGCTATCCTTGCCTTCTCCGTGTAAAATAGGGTTAGTAGAGAATGATATGCCGTCTTGACCTTGTCTCGCCACCGGAGTGTGTTTTGCGCGTGAGAGAGAGGGGGATGCAGCGCAGGTCACGTCTACGCCCTTAAGTTTCGAAGGATGGACTAGCATGTTGGTTTTAGCGTGAAGTGAGTCTTACAGTGAACCGCACTGAGAGTTGGGATGTGCGCCTTTTCCTGCGGTGCTTGGCGTTGGGTGGAAGCAAACTATTTGTCTCTGCATTGCGCCAGAAACGATGAGTAAATACGTTAATGGCGGGACAGATTTGTGTCGAATTTACTTCACTTCGCTCATTCCACCTAATGCGTTCTTGGGAAGACAACAGGAAATGGACGTGGGCACAACGTTTGCCAAAGCTAACCGACACGCCTACGCGTTCTACGTGCGACCTGGTGTCTAACTCCCCATAGGCCGGGCTTTAATGAGGGGCCATAGATCACGTAAAGGGTGTCGTAAACGCCACATCGCAGTCTGTTCCTCGTTCCAAAGGTCTAAGGTTATCCATCGGTTGACAGCCTTTCAATCCACGATACTTAGCACCTCGTGATAGGTTTAAACTCTTCATACTGCAGTTAGGAATACGTCGATATACGATGCGTATCAGCTTTATTATCGGCCCTCTCTTCCCTCTGTCGTGAACCAGTTAGCCGATTAATGACGGGGTGCGAGAGCTGACACAGTATATGTGCCCGCCCAACGCCTGTTTGGGAATAGTTAACGAATCAAGCGGACTAAGCGCAGCTCGTCAGATGCACGGGATCAGCTTATGCCACCCGCTTTCCTTTAACTAACAGAGGGACTCATTCGGCTTAAATAGGAGGCAAGAAGGTATCTACAGGTAAATACAGAGGCAATTTTGTCGAAGCAAGGATAACAAACTCGTTAGTTATGTCACACCACACCGACCCACCGCCAGTAATAAGTAGACAATAAGTATTCTAGAATAAACCTGGCAATCGTACCCTAATCACTGCGTCCATAAGTAATCGCAAGGTGATGGGGAATGTCAGCATGTCCTCTATATTCGATGATTGTCAGTAGGAAAAAACCTCCTCCGGTCGCAAGGATTCGACCCTACCGATCCCCGGTTTGGCCACCCGGCTGAGCGCTCAGAGATTTACACGCTCTGCGATTCGAGTAGGGAGTTGAGAATTTCTTGCCTTCAGGATAAAACCAGCACTAGTCGAAGAGGACAGCTTCGGAAACTACGCGCCTTCATTAGTGTGCACTAATGTGTAGAGCGAACAAATCCGAAGCCAAAGCTGTGAATACCAGTCCTTACAGGCAGCGCAATCTTTTATCGACATTCGTCTAGAAGAAAATCGGCTAAGATACATCAGTCCTTTCAGGACGCCTCCAGTCTTCGTCTGCATGAAGTGCCATCCGGCACTCTCTACGCTGTGGCTAAATTCGAGGAAGAGGGCTCTTAACCAGGTCCGGTAAAATTCTTAGAAGGGTAAGGGGCTAAATAGTTCATACAGTTCGGAAATCTGGGGCGCAAGGGCAGTAGGTCCTGCAATGACCACTTGCGGTTTCTTCGATATCGGCAGCCAGTTGTATCCCAACTACAGACCCGTGATTTGAAACCGGCATTTAGCTCTGAAGTTGGATCCTCTACCACTGAGCCACAAGTCCATTCTCCGCTGGCTGCGATCAGGTGTGCGTGCGCGTGTTTGCCCGGTCGACCTGATCGCTGGAGAGGATACAGGCCTTCAGATTTAGCTCAAAGTCCCTGTCGAGTGTCCTTCCAGGCGCCCACACAGCGACAAACAAGTGGTAACACCGAACTACAGAGGACGTGATTTTTTCGAGCCAATTCCTGGCCTACTTGTGGCCAGCAGCACTTCATGACAACTGATAACCCATTCGCATTCAACCACCAGTAATGACTTGGGGACGGACGACTAAGCAAAACGAAGCATTCCCACCCCCCTCCCCCCATTCAGAGGCCCGATGCGTCGTTCTTACGCAGCGACTCTGAGCAATTTCAATGGCAATCGGCAGACCATGGCTCGGCCGCCAAAGTTTCCGGTTCAACAACCAACCAGACCACGACTGTACATTCCAACCCTTCAGGGTGGCTAGTTGATGCCTGCAAGTATTCCAACAGAAGTCATCACATCCTCCATATCCTTTGTCGGCAGAACCTATCCACCAACTACTGGCGATTGAACGACTGCCTCGAAAAACTGTACACCCGGGCCCGTTGCAAAACCGAAAGTCCCAACCCCATCTTGCGACCAGACCGTGCCAACAAGGCCCGACGTCTACTACATCTATTTCGGCCATCAACACGCCAGCGCGGGACAGCATCCCATGCTCTGACGGCTGCGCCCCCGTCCGTGGTCATGGTATATGAACCTTACTGACCCCATCCCGCGACAATCCCAATTCGCATCACCATCTACGGGCGACACAGCGTTCGCACGTACTGCCAGTAAAGCACAGGCACCATAACAGAAACACCCAATGGGCACTCTCTTAGCTCCACAACTGCAAACATCGCACTCCAGCCCCTCTACTCGATTCTTTCTCACACTAGCACATGCCATCAACACGCTCAGCTATACCCCAGATCAGACTGAAATCACCACACTCGAAAACAGCAGTTAGGACGCGGACAACGCCCTCGACGTTATCTTAACCCACCAATGCACTCCAACGCCCAACAGTCATTACCGAAACCACCGGGAATCCTCCAACCTCGCAGTTTGAGTGTGAGTAACGACATGCCGGCCACCCACCCAACTAACCAAGAGCCACGATCACTCACGGCCACGCCGCAGAATCCAGCCTCACAAGCAACAGAGCCGGATGAAACGCTAGTAAGCACACGAACACCCCCAAAACCGCGCATTCCCACGTACATAGACCCAGAGTGATCACCCACAACGAAATGCCTACCATGCCAGACGGAAGTCATCAAACAGACGCAACCAAACCAAGAATGCGAACACCACTGAAAGTGATCTTGTATATGTATAAGTAAACAGAAATGCATCAGAGCGGAATGGAGCAGACCAAAAGTATGCCAAAATCTATGTACACGGTGGAACAGCTTAATCGACCTCCTCCATGCCAGCAGCATCGTCACCGGCCTCCGCAGGAGCCACATCCGCCGCAGCCGACGCCGACTCCAGCTTCTCATCACCCTCGTCCTCAATCTGCAGACACATGCTGATCAACTCATGGATCTTGTTCGCGTGTGTCCTTGGATCATCCAAAGTGAAGCCTGAGGCCAACAGGGCAGTGCTGAAGAGCATATTGATGAGATCTTTGCAGATCTTCTGATTCTCACCCTGCGGATCAGCCAACATCTCCTTCAGCTTCTTTATTATGTTGTGCTCTGGATTCAGCTCCAAGTGCTTCTTCGCCGCCATGTAGCCCATCGTACTCGAGTCCCTCAATGCCTGCGCCTTCATTATCCTCTCCATGTTTGCCGACCAACCGAACGTCGACGTCACTATGCAACACGGGGATGTCAGCAGTCGGTTCGAGATAGTCACCTTCTCCACCTTTCCTGACAGAATCTCCTTGATCTTCGTGCATGTCGGCTCAAACTCCGTCTTCAGCTCCTCAAACTTCTTCTTCGACTCCTCATCCTCCGGCAGCTCTAGACCCTCCTTCGTCACGCACACCAACTTCTTGCCATCGTACTCACGAAGCTGCGTCACGGCATACTCGTCAATCGGATCAAGCATGTACAACACCTCCAGTCCGCGCTTCTTCAGCACCTCCGTGAAGGCCGAATTCGCAACAGCCTCCTTGCTCTCACCCGTTATGTAGTAGATGTCCTTCTGATTCTCCTTCATCCGAGACACGTAGTCCTTCAGGCTCGTCATCTCATCACCGCTGGAGGAGGAGTAATACCTCAGGAACTCGGACAACTTCTTCCTATTCGTGCTGTCTTCGTGGATGCCAAGCTTGATGTTCTTGGAGAACTGCTCGTAGAACTTCTTGTAGTTCTCTGCATCCTCTGTCAACTCCTCAATCAACTCCAAACACTTCTTCACCAGATTCTTACGGATCACCTTCAGAATCTTATTCTGCTGCAACATCTCTCTGCTAATGTTCAGTGGGAGATCTTCCGAGTCTACAACACCCCTGATGAAGTTCAGGTACTCGGGTATCAGATCTTCACAGTTGTCCATGATAAACACGCGGCGCACATACAACTTAATGTTGTTTCGCTTCTTTCGGTTCTCAAACAAGTCGAAGGGAGCACGCTTCGGTATGAAGAGCAGGGCACGGAACTCCAGTTGACCCTCCACGGAGAAATGCTTCACCGCCAGGTGGTCCTCCCAGTCGTTGCTAAGCTGCTTGTAAAATTCACCGTACTCCTCCTGCGTTATGTCATCCGGATTCCTCGTCCACAGTGGCTTCGTCTTATTCAACTCCTCCTCATCCATATACTTCTCCTTAATCTGCTTCTTCTTCTTTTTCTTCTTCTTATCCTTCGACTCCTTATCATCACCCTCCTCCTCTGAGTCCTCCTCATCATCAATATCTTCTACCTTCGGCTTGCCTTCCTCACCTTCAGCCTTCTCACCCTCCTCCTTCTTCTCCTCCTCCACCATCTCCTCGTCGTCCGACACATCCTTCGTCCGCTCCTTCTCCACTATCAACTTTATCGGATAGCCGATGAACTGCGAGTGCTTCTTTATGATGTCACGGATCCTCCTATCCTCCAGGTACTCCGTCTGGTCCTCCTTCACGTGAAGAATTATCTTCGTCCCACGACCAATCGGATCTTCCTCCATCGGGCGAATTGTGA